GAAAGAGTTACTCGTCCCACTGACAAGTTCTGTATCCTTTCCACAGGAACTGCCCTGCCTTCTCCCTTTTCTCCCTCACCCCTCCTCCGCAAAAAAAAAAGGGGGGGGAGGGCAGGGTAGTTTTGATAACTCCAAAGTGCCCCCATGATTCTGAGAACACTCTTACTATACACAACTGCCTAGCTCTCCTATCTGTAACCTGGGGCGAACATCCAGCTAATACTTTGTGAGCACCAAAGAGTATGTAGAATCAAGGGGTGATTATTTCCCTTTGCTGTTTGAGGATATAATCTCATATAGAGATGAAACTGGTTGTTTATACATTTTTACTGATAACTTAGAGGACATAAATAGTAGAAGACTGGAGGGATATAGAAACAAGGACGTTGGCTCTGTTATTAATCCTCAATTTCAGCTTAATCGTGGATCTTATTCCTGAACTGTTGTTACTAAGAAACCTGGATTGTGCCTATCTGTTGATTGTTTTACTTGAATGATCAAGTTATGACAATAGGACACCTGTAAACTGCAGTCTGAGAACTGACAGGCTAAAATAGAAACACACACATAAATAGCAGTATAGGAGGGATTGGCTAAATATAGAACATTAAATCCATTAGGAATTAGCTAGTTCATGGTTGGGGGTGTTAAAGGGAAGTGAGGCTGGCTTTTCAATTTTACTCCTCTACAGCAGTAGGAAAATACTGTTTCCAGCCTTTCTGGAGGGACTAATGGGAAAGAATTGAAAGAACTGCTTGGAAGAGGGGCGATGGGATCAGAGCAAGAGAGTGTTTCGGTGTATGTCATTTTCTCCATAAGGAACCAAATTCTATGTTTCTCCACATCTGGAGTTTATAGGTAAGGCCTCCAAATTATTCAGTCCCTGTGCCTTGTAGCTTTTTAGAAAAGGAGGGTCTTAGGAGGCCAAGCCAGCTGGCTGACAAGGAATCTGATTCATGCTGGGCTAGTTTTCCCTTAATCCTTGCTTCTCAGATGTATGTCCCTGGGAAGCTACATGATGTGGAACACGTGCTCATCGATGTTGGAACTGGCTACTATGTAGAGAAGGTGAGTGGAAGGAAGCATACCCCTCTGAGCAGAGAAAGGGAGTTTAGGGGAAGATTTAGAGTGCAGCATGGAGTCTCCTGTTAGCCCCTCATTCACCTCTGACATTTTAGACAGCTGAGGATGCCAAGGACTTCTTCAAGAGGAAAATAGACTTCCTCACCAAGCAAATGGAGAAAATCCAGCCAGCTCTGCAGGAGAAGCATGCCATGAAACAGGGTAAGCTTGGCCTGGGGCACCTCTTCACCCTGTCTGCCTCCATGATAAAGAATGTGGATTGCAGTGTGAACCCTGGGAGTATCCCCTTTGCTGGATTAAAACTATGTCTTTCTCTTTAGTGTCTTGATGCGTTATTCTCTATAGATTCCACTGTTTGTAGATACCTGAGTTGGATGCTTGAGAGATTTAGAGGAAGGAAATCATGCCTGTATTCTTGTGAAGTTCCTATTTAATGGAATGGGAGGAAATACGTGTAAATCAACATACAGGAAAGAAGTATAACCTTGACTAAGTAGTATCAATTGCGACCCTGGCTGTACATTGGAATCACCCAGGCAGTTTAAAAAGAAAGCCTGGGCCCATGCCAGCTAAATTAAGCTGAGTAGTTGTGGGGAGTGGAGAGTGGGCAAACATTCCAGGGTCCAGTGTTTTTTTTAAAAAAAAACTCCCCAGGTGATTTTGTTACACAGAATTAAGAACCACTGTTCTAAACGCAAAAATCTTTACCACGTTATAATTTTCTGGTTATGTCTGACTCATATAATAGTGTATTTTGTTTATTTTTATATCCCAGTGGTTGTCATATTTACTGACACATTGTAAACTCTAAAATTTGTTAGTATGTCCCCTACAGTGGATCACTGTGTTAAAAGTTATCTACTTGTCCTTAAACTTTCTTGTCACTTTTCCTTAACTCTGGGTTCTCTCCTTTAGCTCTTGACCAGAGTCTGACGGTCTTTTTTTCCACAGCTGTCATGGAGATGATGAGCCAGAAGATTCAGCAGCTCACAGCCCTGGGAGCTACTCAGGCTGCCAAGGCCTGAGAGCTTGTTTCAGAAACAGAGCAAAGGGACTCTTTTTTAAGGGCCCTGGAACTGGTGGGATTGGGGGGGACGGGGGATGTTTAATGCTAATAAATGTTCCAGTTGGGCAGAATGTTGGTCTTTTCTTGCATCAAGCAAAGGACCGGTGAAGAGAGGGTGGGCCGTGGTCGAGAGGGTATGTCCCTTCCCAGAGCCCGTTGCAGTGCTTATCTCGGAGGTTCCATCGGAACCGCTGGGGGAGCCAGAAGAAAGCCTTTCCTGCGCTGTGTATGCGCCCCACCAGGTCGGTTGCCGTGGGAACGGCTGAGAAGCGGAAGTAGGGCTGCGCGGGCGCTTTATTTTCCGGGTCGGCGCTCCCGCGTGCGCGAAGGGGAAGCTGCATGGGCCGCCACTTCCTGCGCGGTCTCCTATCTCTGCTCCTGTCGCCGCCGCCGCCACCCCTCCATATCTGGCACTGCAAGCTCAGCCTGGAGTCCGTCCCGCCCTTCAAACGACCCCGCAGCAGCCTCATGACACCGCCCCGTATTGGGACACACAACGGCACCTTCCACTGCGATGAGGCCTTGGCATGCGCATTGCTGCGCCTCCTTCCGGAGTACCGGGTACAGTCAGCCAAAGCTGACCTTGGGGTTGCCCGCATTCCCTCCTGGGCCCTTGCGTGGCTCGGCCGGTCCGAGCACTCCTACCTTCCCCGGCTCCCCTGGAAACCCAACATTAACCCCCATCCATGCGACCTCCTGCAACCCCTTCACGTACTGTAACCCCCGGTAGGATGCAGAGATTGTGCGAACCAGGGACCCGGAAAAACTGGCTGCTTGCGACATCGTAGTGGACGTGGGTGGCGAGTACGATCCTCAGAGACACCGATATGACCATCACCAGAGGTGGGTTCCCAGGTACCTTTTCAACTTCAGTGCTCCAATTCAGTCATCCAATGCACTGGTCCTTGTCAGCGAAGGGATTGCCTCCTCCTTGAAAACAAACTCGGGTCCCGTGGGACTACCGCTTTCCATCCTAGCTCTCCACCTGCTCTGCACTCATCTACCTGGCCTTGGACCTCCCTGAGCCCTCCAATCTGTCCAGGCCTCCTTTGACTCCCCTCAGGCCCCTTCCAGCTGGGATTAATCCATTCATGTGTCCTTGGTGCCCCAGTTCAGACTGCTGGGTCCACATGATTGTGGTGGTTGGTGATATAGTTCAGGTGTGTGTGGTCTTCTACTTCCTTTACTCTCTTCTCTCGGGAAGTCTGTCTTTTCCAAGGTTAGCCACTATCCACAGTACCATCCCAATCCTCTCTTCTCCCCTACCTCGTAAGACTCCCTCAGTGAATCAACCTGCCTCTTACTCTTCAAAGGAAATTGAGTTTTTCCTACATGCACATCCTGTTTCCCACCCTTAAACATACTCAGCTCCCTCCTTCCAGTTCCAGAAACATTTCCCTTGTTTGCCCCCTTTCCAATCTATTACTTTCTTCTCTTGGACTTCACATCACAGTTCTCCCACCAGTGTTTCTACTTCTCTTCGTTCAGTTTAAAACTGCTCAGGCATCTCCCGTCTTGCAAACAAAGGATTAAAAAAAAATCTCTCATATCATACTGCACTGTTTAAAATGGTTATCTCTGAGGGATTATTAAAATATTTGAAGTCTGGAAGTATTTTCCTCTCTCAATACCTTTTTTAAATTATGCAGTAATTGACACAAAAGAATGTATTTAACATTTCTGGAATATAAAACGTAAAATGAATACCCACGAAACAATATCCCAACCTAAGAACGAGGGCATTACCATTACCTTTGCATCTGTACTTGTGTGCTTCTTCCCTATCCCATACCCCACCTCCCCTAGAAGCAAGCAGTATCCTGAATTTTGTGTTTATCATACCCTGTTGTGTATAATTTAGCACATATGTCTGTTTCCATCAACTATTAAGTTTTGCTTCTTTTTGAACCTTATTTTAGAGGTTATCATTAATCTATACCTTATGAATATTTTATAATTTCTTTGTATTTACTCAGTATTTAACAATAAAAATCATTAAAAAATAAGCTCGGTAGGTGAATCTGATAGACTAGTATTTAGAAATTACAGCTACAGTTTCTGCTTCCCTAACATACTTTTCCCCAATTCTCTGCCCCACTGCTTTTCAAATTCCTGCCTTCCCCACTTACTTGGACCACTGCAGGTAATCTCCTTGCATCTATTTTCCATGCTGGCTGGCACAGTACTCTAACATGCATTTGCTTGCTTAAAGTCTCTTAGTGGCTTCCACTGCCTACAAATGAAGTCCAAACTCCAAAAGCATACAAGTCCTGCCATGATCTGGCCCTTGCTTACCCTTTTCTTTTGCCACTCACCCCTCACACCCATGTAGCCTTTCTTGCAATTCCATGAAGAGACATTGTACATGTTTTTCCCTCTACATGGAGTACCTTTTTTCCTTCACCTTTGGCTGGTGAACACCCACTAATTCATCCTTGAGGAATGACCTGAAGGCTCTTCTCCTGAACCCTTCCTTATCCTCTCCCCGCTTTCCTTGTTTATAATCTAGCTAGAACATATGCTTGGTTGTTTGTCTGCCTTTAGGCAATGAACTTGAAGACAGGGACATAGTCTGTTTTTTTATCCCCAATGTCTAAACACAAAGCCTGGTTCATAGTAAGCATTGAGTAAACCATTGTCGAATGAATTCATGGAGACTCCAAGCTGAGGTCTGTGTTGACACTTGAGGAAAAGCCAAAGCCTCCCCAGCTGGGCTTTCTCCACTCAACTGCAGTATTCTCCAGCCTTCCCACCCCAACCTGTACCTGCACGTGCACGCACTCACACACACTGTGGGTTAACTTGGGCAACTCTACCTCAGTCCTACCTCCCTGTGCTCCTCAGGTCTTTCACAGAGACCATGAGCTCCCTGTCCCCTGGGAAGCCATGGCAGACCAAGCTGAGCAGTGCAGGACTCATCTATCTACACTTCGGGCACAAGCTGCTGGCCCAGTTGCTGGGTACTAGCGAAGAGGACAGCATGGTAGCCACCCTCTATGACAAGGTGGGGACCTAAGGACAGAGATGTTCCACACATGCATCTCCACCAGGCCAGCTGGGAGTGGCACTCAGCACTCAGGACTGGGCCTCAGGCCAGGGTTCCTGGGGTGGTGGTAAGTGGATAAGGTAACATGGGGAGAGGCTTTGAAAATCATAAAGCAGTGTTTTCCTGTCTTTTTCTTGACCTGACACAAATAAATGGTTGTTCAACAACTTGGTAATAGAGGAGGCTGCTTGTTTGGAAGCATATGGTTCAGGGGTTCTGGGTGCCCTGAAGGCGGAGGAGAGCATATCTTAGGCACTTTAATTCACCACAGGCACACAAGTTGGAAAGATCAGCTGGGAAGGGTCTGATTATGAAAATAACTTCAGGTTCTACCAGCATCCCCTAAAAGCAGCTCAGCAGGTTCTTGCTATTGGGAAAGGAACAGGGGTAGTGGCCTTGGTGTGCATGTCAGGTCAAATAATGATTCTGAGGATACCTACTTGACCATACTCCTGTGCAGTTCATAGGTCAAACTTCAGATTTAGTCAGCTATTTTTTTGCAGATAGGCTGTTGAGTTCACTCCTGTGTCTCAGCTCACCTATCTTGTGCCCCATGATACAGCATTAGTACAATCCAAAAAAGTGAGGAAAAATGGTTAAATTGGAGCTTTGGGAATATTAACACTTGTAGTCTGCCTAGGTCAGTTTTCTCTTCTATTACTAAAAGATTTCTAAGCAATTGAACTAAATTAGACTCAAATTCTGAGTATCAGGTTGGGGTCCAGACCAAGAGGGTGCTCAGCAGAGTTTTCTTCTTTGACTCTCCCAGAGAGTAGCACTTTATGTACCACAGATGTGTTGGTATATAAACTTACTGTAGGGTAATTTCGCATTAAACAGTGATACCCTATATTATTTCTACCCCCAAACTCTTGAGGCGTTGTCCTACCATTCTTTAGGTTCAGGAGATGCAGCAACTGTTGATGCCTCATGGTACATCATGGGTTTCTCTGGGACCACACACCAGCACTTGATGTCTAGTCCAGCACCCATTCTCTCCCACCGGACCTGTGTACTTGGCCAGACCCTCCTGGACCTCATTAACCAGGTCACTGAATAGCCTACTCAACGCCCCCTGCAGCCATAGGGATCCCCTCCCAGAGCCCTTCATGGAACTCAAGATCTTTATTCAGAAGTTGGCAGCCCCCTCCCTCCACATGCTGGCCTCAGCTCGGACTTTGTGTGGTAGTAGAGTGAGCACTGGATTAGAAATCAGATTATCTGAATTCCAGCCCTGGCACTATTAGCTCTCTGACCTTAAGTAAGCCACTGGACTCTCCAATCCCCCCTTTCTTCATCCAGTTGATGTTGAGATCCCTACAAGGCTATTGTGAAGAGTATATGCATATACTTTGAAACCTGTAAAACTATGCAAATGGTAGGCATCCTCAAGAATGTTTCTCCTGCTGCTGCCTTAGATGTACGAGAACTTCGTAGAGGAGGTAGATGCAGTCGACAATGGGATCTCCCAGTGGGAGGAGGGAAAGCCTCGATATGCACTGACCACTACACTAAGTGCCCGAGTTGCCCGGCTTAATCCCACCTGGAACCAGCCCAACCAAGACACTGAGGTAAGGAAGTCCCCAGGGGAAGAGACCATCAGGCATGTAAGAGCATCAAGGAAGGAAATAAGAGTGGTTGCCCGCCTCCCCCCTCCCCCTCAAACCCTAGTAAAGTCAAAAGTTTGGGCTAGCACCACTGTTTTGATTCCCACGATTCCCAGGCTGGGTTCAAGCGTGCAATGGATATGGTTCGAGAGGAGTTTCTGCAGAGATTAGACTTCTACCAGCACAGCTGGCTGCCAGCCCGGGCCTTGGTAGAAGAAGCCCTAGCCCAGCGATTACAGGTACAGGCCTGGGAGTAGGCGTTGTGGCTCAGGGAGTAGTGACTGCTGGCAGGCTGCTAGTCAACAACGGTTCCTGCTTCCACCCTAAACTTTCCAGCCATGCCCCACTTCCCTTTCAGGTAGACCCAAGTGGGGAGATAATAGAACTGGCAAAAGGTGGATGCCCCTGGAAGGAGCACCTCTATTACCTAGAATCTGGGCTGTTGCCCCCAGTGACCATCGCCTTTGTTGTCTACACTGACCAGGCTGGACAGTGGCGGGTACAATGTGTGCCCAAGGAGCTCCACTCATTCCAGAGCAGGTGAGACCCTAAGGGATCACCCCGCAGACCTTCATGACTGTTGTAGCCCTACAGAGGAGGCCACTAAGTTTGGCCTCTGCTCTGCTCCCTCTTTCTCAATTCAAGGCCTCCATTTGCTCCTACCAACTTCCTCTTTCTGCTCACTTGTAGGCTGCCCCTGCCAGAGCCATGGTGGGGTCTTCGGGATGAGGCCCTGGACCAGGTCAGTGGAATTCCTGGCTGCATCTTTGTCCATGCCAGCGGCTTCATTGGTGGGCACCGCACCCGAGAGGGTGCCTTAAGCATGGCTCGTGCTACCTTGGCCCAGCGCCCAGCACCTATGCCTCCCACAAATCCCATTGTCCAATAAAATTTGTCTCATACTGACCAAGTCCTTGCCCCATTATTGCCCTGTACCATTCTGGGAACTTGCTGAAACTTGGGAACAGTAAAACATTTATTACGCACCAGAGCCTGTACTAGACTTTCAGGCCTATTGGTATTTTCTCAGCTTTGCTTTCCTACTTAACTGAAAACCATCCAGTTCCTAACGTTAGGTAACTTGACCAAATCAAAAGAAGTGGCTAAAACGTGACAGAACCAAGATCTTAACCCAAAGTCCATGCCTTTTTTTTTCTTCACTATACCCCAATGCAACTCCCTTGAAAAGTCTCATAATTGAGTGGAAAACAAAGAAGGAAATTTTTTATTATTAGAAGTGGGAAGCAGGCGGTGGCCCTGGCAGAGGGTCCCAAGGAGCAGAGATTGGGGATGTCTCTGTAAAGAGGGGCAGATCATGAACAGAACCTCCGCCCCCAGCTGGGGGCTCTTGGGTTCGGCCAAGCACTGGGCTAAAACGTGGAAACTGGGCATTGACAAAGTACAGAGGGATGTGGGCAATTCGGCCTGTGGACCAGCACTACAGAGGGAGGAGAAAAAAAGTCTTATCAGACTGGGCTCAAAGGCCATATGACAGAGCCACACAGTAACCAAACCTTCAATTCCTCCACCCAACTCCCCAAACCCCAGCAACCTTGGATACTCACCACACTAAGCAGAGCCCCTTTGTTAAAGGAAGGATGAAAAGTGATGAGCTGGGCCTGGGCTCCTGGCTCCCCCTGGATAATGCCACTAAGGGAAGAAAAGATAAGCAGGCAACTGGAAACAGAGGCAGGTGTAGTGGGATGTGGATTTTGTGTGAGAAGGCTAGTGAGAAGCCCAGACCAAAGGCCTGCCTAGCACTTACCAAGGAAGTAGCTCAAACAGAGGGCTGTTTCGAGTACGAAAAAGGAGGATGACTGGCTTACCATTCTGGACTCGTGGATTTCCTAAAAGGAATGGATACAGGGCAGGAAGGAACTCGAGGCAGAATCCCAGGACAGGGGCAGAGAAGAACTGCAGCCAGGGCATGGACACTGAATTAATGGGAAGATGGCTGTGGCCTAAGCAAAGTCCTTCCTCCTACCTCTTACCTTTCATGAGCACAGCCAGACGCTCCCCGCTGGGGTCCCAAACCATGGAATGAGCCTCTCCCCCAAGTCTGTGGATCAGAACAGGTTGAGAGAGCTCAGCGTGGTCCATCCCACCTTCCTTTCACCGCCTCTCCCTCACCCACTCACTCCCTCACCTTTCTTCTCCATCTGGGGTGTGTAATGTTGTCTCAGACAGATCTGCCACAATCGTTGCTGATTTTGCACCTCCAACGCGCCCCTTTCCCTCACCTGTGGATAAGGGCAGAGACCCTTCAGTATAGGAAACAGGCCTCTCACTGGTCCCCTGCCACCTCTCCCATTGTAGGCATCAACAGTTCTCAAGGCTCCCAAGCTGCTTTATTTCCCTGTATCCTTCAGAATAACATATTCCAGAGGGTTCCTGCCTCCCACTACCCCAGATATTCCACATCCTGAAACATTTCCCCTAACTCACCACAACGTTCCGGGAATGACAAGGAGTAAATCAGTGGTTCCCCTAATACAGTGAATAACAGCCGGTTTCCATCTGGGCTCCAGCAGCCAGTCTGGGGTCAGGGAGCAAAAAGCAGGGGGAAGGGTGGTCTATAAGAGACTGTAAAAGGAAAAGAAGTAGAGGAAGTGGGGAGACAAACTTGGGGAACCAGGGGACTACCTCCTCCCCAGCTTCCATGAATCTTACCTGACATCGCCCTGATAGCGTAGGCCACCTCTCGCACGTCCACATCTGGGCCTCCCAGACTCTGCACCAGACAGACAGATCACAGCTTAAGATCTCTGGGTTCCAAAACTTGGACTTCCCTCTCTGTCAGTCCCAGGATGAGGTCAAAGAATGGGAATGGGGACAGAATGTTCTGCCTGCTGGGAGTTCTAGGAGCCAAGTGCCTTGCTCCAGGTCGTTCTTGCCCTCCCTTTGTCCTCTTCCCACTCACCGAAATACAGCTGAAGGAGTGGTTGCCAGGACTTTGCTGCCATCCGGGGACCAGAGAAGGTTGGTAACCCCTCCTCCCCGAAACCAGGGAAGGGGAACACAGGTCTCTGTTGAGACATCCCATACCTAGGAGAGTGTGGACAAGAGAGTGAGACAAAGGAAATTCAAGCACCCTATTGTGTCATGGCCAGCTCCCCTTCATTCAGGTACAAAGAACCAGAAATGGAGGAAGCAGGAAAAGGGATGTTAAAACAAAAGGAAATAGGTTTCGTAATTATAGCAGGCACAATTTTAAATCTGAATCTGGATGGTACAGCTCCCTCCCTGGTTAATTTTAAGAATATATGGACAATTAACTCTCCTTACTGCAGGATATTTTCTACCACCTGGCAAAGAATGCTCTTTCCTTAATCTGAGGGATGGCTAAAATGACCAAAAGGGGTGGGGACCAACTCACCAGGATAGCAGCATCCACAGGTGAAGCTGAGAGCAGCCGCCCCCCACTGGGGGCCCAGGCCAAGCTAGTGACAGGTGTGTGTCCAGCATGAGAGAGCACTTGGGCACAGCCAGAAGAGGGTCTACCAAGGGGAAATGGTGTAGAGTCAGAAGACAAGAAGAAAGCCCCATGATTCTATTTCCTTGCTTCTTCCCAATAAAATTTCCAAATCCCATTGGCCCCTTGAAGCACAAATCTAGACTAGGAAAAATTAATAAGGATCATGGAAGTTAAAGAAAAAATAAGGGCAATGTCAACACCAGTAGGTCCACAGAGGAAAATGGGTGAAAGGGAATAAACTTTCACTATAGGTCTCAAGAAGACAAAAACTTCTGACCACTAAATCTAGAAGGTGCTGAGCTGGGGAGATGTCATGCTCTGCCCTAGATGACAGCCTTCCCCACAGGACCATCCTACCCGGGGCCTGGGATAATCTATGATATTACCTCAAGGGTCCAATCTCTTCCCTTTCCAAAGTCATCTACCGCTCTCTAGAACTCATCCTGTGCTCCAAAACTTGTCTTTCTGCCTTTCCTTGTCAGAATTAATCTCCCTCATCTGCTCCTGAATTGTTTTTTGCTTGTCATAAAGATGCTGCCTGTGGGTCCGCCTCCATCACTAGGCTGTGAACTACCTGAGGGCACCACGGTGTCATTCAGCTTTGCAACTCTGGGACCACACACTTGGTCTGACAGGTATAGGCTTCTGCCTGAGTTAATGCCACCCTCTCCCTTTTCCACCTAGCTGTAACTACCATTAGCTTCAGTGAAGTCTTAGGCCACTGATCTACAACTTGTTCTTTAACTTCACAGTAAATCTTGGTTATCTTTTCAGGTCAGTTCCTAGAGACCTAGCTCATTCTTTTCAGTGGCTCCACTGTATTCCACTCAATAGATAACTATAACATTCAGTCATGCCTCCACAAATGGACATTTCAATTGTCTGTAATTTTTATTACAAACAATGCTACAAAATATATTCTCTATATCTTTATGTACTCATGTCATTATTTGTGTAGAACAAAGTATTAAAATAAAATGGGAGGGAAATATGCCAACAAATTATTTTCTGAAGTTTGTACCACAGTGTACTCCCACCGACTGTGTATAAAAGTACTTGTTTTCCTACTCTTGCTAGTACTAGATACTATCAAACATCTTAATTTTATTAATATTATCATTTCTGAATAGGCAAAAAATGTTCTGTATTTTTCCTAGTCCTTTTAACATTTATTCTTTTGCTGCTTAGTATTTATTTGAATAATGTGAAGGACTATTATTTTTTAAATGTATAGCAAATTATCCCAATACCACTGAAAAAAAGAAATCTAAACTTTTTTCTTCTTCTTAATTATTATTATTTATGCCCACAGCACCTGGTCTTCCTAGGTGGTCTACCATCCAAGTACTAACCAGGCCTGACCCTGCTTAGCTTCTGAGATCAGACATTGGGCTTGTTCAGGGTGGCATGACTGTAGACCATGCACCGTGACTCCACTGGGGAGCAAACCCAGGGCCTTCTGCGTGTAAAGCAGACGTGCTAACCGCTACACTATGGAACTACGTCCTCTAAACTTCTTTATTACAGTGAAAGCCACATTCATACATTAAATCTCCATATATTCTTAGATCTGTTCCGGAATGTTATTGTTACATTTATCTGTTTGTCTATTCTTATGCCAATTAACTTCCTATTACTATAACTTCATAAAATATTTTAGTACTTTTTAACTAATGTCACCATAATAAGAATAAAAATTTAAATATATATATATACATATATATTTTCTAATACCTAGTAGGGCAAGTCTCTCAATATTTTTCCTTTTCTGACTTTTTTCTTGGCAAGTCTTCCACATTTATTCTTTCATAAAAACGTAAATATAATTTTGTGCAGTTCACAAAAATCCCATCAGAATTCTGACTGGAAGTACACTTAATTTGACATCTTTATGATTAAACTGTCTATCCAGGAATATAGCTTATCTCCATTTATTCAGCTCTTGTTTAATATTCTTCAAATTTCTTCAGATATCTAATATATCAAATAAATTTAACAATTTATTTCTAGTAATTTAGTAATTGTTTTACCTATTGTAAATAGAATTTTTTTCCATTTCAATTTTTCAAATATTATTGTTGGTATAAAGGAAAACTAGTACATTTTCAATGTCTTGAATCCAGTCACCTTACTACATTTATATTTCTTATTAAATCAGCCAAGTTTTTTTTAGTTGAATCTATTTTATATAGGTATAAAATCATATCATCTTCAAAGAAGAATAATTTTCTCTTCTTTCAAGATTTTACCACATTTCTTTTTCTTGTCTTACTGCACTCACTAGAATCTCCAAAAATAATGTTGATTAATAATGGTGACAATATCTCAGTCTTTATCTTGACATTACTGGAAATACTTTTAGTACTTCGTATTTCAGTTTAATACAGTAGCCGCTGATTGAGTAAATACTCTTATGTTTAGGTTGTCTCTTTGAATTCCTATTTTACTTTGTTTTCAACTGAAATGTCTGCTTTTTGAGAAGGACATTTATTGATATAAGCATTTTTCTCCATTAATTTGCTAATGTAATAAGTCATGTGACTAGATTTCCTAATGATGAATAGTCTTTAATTTCTGGAAAATCCTACTTAAGATTTTTTAAAATATACTTTTAGACTCTATTCACTAATATTTTATTTAGGATTTTTGAATCTATGCTCAAATATTTATTTTCTTGTACTATTTTCAGGTTTAGGTTTTTGGGTTACATATGCTTTATAAAAATAAATCAGAATGGATCCTGGGACACATAAAGGACATTAATGGAAAAAGTAGTGAAATCTGAACAAAGTCTGGAGTTTAGTTAATAACAATGTGCAAATGTCAGTTTCTCAGTTTCGACAAATGTTAACATGATAATATAAGATGTTAAAAATGGAGGAACTGGGTGAAAGGTATGCCAAACTCTCTCTTTACAACTTTTCTAACAATCTAAAATTATGCCATAATGAAGTTTATTAAAAGGAAATAAATAAAACAGGAGACTTTCTAAATTTTTCTATGATCTGGATTAGTTCAAATAACATTAAATTTTGACAATTAGAACTCTCATAAAACCATCTCAGCCTGGCATCTTTTTTAGTGTTATAATTCCTCCCTTTAATTTCTTCTATAATCCACTTTAGTAACTTATATTTTGCTAGAAAATCAAACACTTCCTTTAGATTTTCAAATCTGTTGGTCTAAACTTGTGTATATTTTCTAATAATTCTTCTATTTTCTTCTGTATCTGTGGTTATCTCTCTTCCCATTCTTAAAATAGTGTACTTTGATATATTCTTTTAACTTAATAAGACTGGCAAAAAGGTTTACTTATTTATTCATAATTAAAAGAACCAGTTTCTGATTTTATATTTAGTTAGTTATCCTGGTTTCAACTTATATCCATTTTAATTCCCTTCTCACCTTACTTTAAACCTATATCTGACAGTTTTTCTACTTTATAATCCATAGGTACATACTTTCCACAATCCCAGAAGCCCCTACTAGTTCTTTCCCTTCCTCTAGATTATTCTCAGCACCTCCGCCTTGACATTAGGTCTGCTGCTTCCACATGAAGTGCTGTGAAGACAAAGAACTTCTCCTTCCAGCCCTCCTCACTACCCCTAGAGTGACCACAGCCCTCAGGCCAAGGTTAAAGACAAGCTGCTGGCATTCACCTGGTAGACAAGGAGGTGGGGTCCAGGGTCCAGATGAGAATGCAGCTTTGGCAGGCCACAGCCAAGACAGAGGCACTAAGGGGCTTCCAGGCCAGAGCTGCCACATTTCTCTGCAACCGGTGCTTCAGAGAGGGGACTATAGTGCTGGGGTAAAAGGGTAGGGGATTGAGTTAAAGCAGGGACACTAAGGCTCAGGGGACCTGAGAACAGCTAACAGACAAATGCACAGACCAGAAAGCTGATCATCCAGGGCCCCAGGGTACTGTGGGACAGAAGGATAGGATAACAGTTAGATATGAATAAAGGACACATCCAGTTCTGGAAGGAGCCCTGTGGACCAGGCCCAGGAGCGGCAGGATTCCCCTGGGCCCAAGGCTAGAGAGTGAAGGGGAGACTAATCTATGGAGCCTGAAGAGTCAAGAGCCAACCCAGCAGGCCCCCACATACCTGTTGGCATTATACACACGGATGGAGTCATCTAGCAGGGCCACTGCAAACTTGTTGGTATGGGGATGCCATGCAAAGACCCGCAAGCAGCAGCTGGACCTGGAACAGGTGTGAGCATTAAGTCTGAACCTGCACCTACCCATACCCCAGCCCAGAAGGTCAAATTCCCTTTCACATGAGCACACTATTGTGTCTCATTTTTTCTTTTATTTCTTTTTTTGGAAGGCAGGAGTGAGAATGTGGGCAGTAGTCTGAAAAGGGGTGAGAGGAGTCTGCCTTGACTTCCCTCTCCCCAAAAGAAGTTCCAAGGTTCAGGACTTACTTTCCCACAAAAGCCCCAGAGCTTATACACTCACCAGTTTGTAACTTGAGCAAATTCAGCAATCAGATCTTCACTCCTGAGCTATAAGATCAAAGCCAATAAAGGACACACTGGGACAAAGGGAGTTTATCCTCTCAATAGTTCCACAATGAAGTTGGACCACTTCCACCTTCTACAGTCTTTCCACTCCACCCTGCCCTTAAGGGATAGGAAATGGAGAGGAGGGCAGGAGTGGGGAGGGCCAGGGAAGGAAGCCAAACTTACCGACAAATGGGGGAACAGGGACCCATGGAGGGAGGAGGCCCATTGACAGAGTGCCACAGCCCAGCTGGAAGCAGTTTTCACCCACTCAAACACTGTGGGGTTGAAAAAGCAGATCTGATTAAATCATTCAAAAGGCTCTCACTAGGCACCCTCTTAGGTGAGAGACAAGCAAGAACGAGTACTCCCCTGGTCCTTCCACCCAACAGTTTATCTGGACACCCACTCACGTAGGTAGAGGAGAGAAGTGAAGATGACACCAATGTAGACAACTGGGACAGGGAAAATAAGGCTACAGGGAAAGGGGCTGAGCCAACAGGTAATTGGGATGAGTTAGCGAGAATATGGAGGTGAGATGCCAACCGCAAAACTGGAAAAGACTGGAGGGAAAAATACTTACCCTCCTCCTCCGAGTTTGCAATTTCATTCAGCACCCCAAATAGGCCCATATCACGCCTGATAAGAGGAAGCTGTGAGTCAAATTACTCTGACCCTCTTCAGTTTCCCCTCTACAAGTTTCATTCAGTCAATAAACATGTATTAAAATGAAGAGCATTCATATTTAATGAGTGGCAACTATGTGTCATGCACTTTATATATTGTCCTTTAATTATCACACTAAAATGGGCAGAATGCTAATGAGGCAACTAAGGCTCAGAGGTCCTTCAGGGCTTTGTGAATAGGTCGAGTCAAGACTTGCTCTAAGATAGTGAATGGAAAGCCACGGAAGGTTTTTAAGCAGAGGAATGAACTGATCACACTGGCATTTTAGAAAGATCATCTGGCTGCAAATTAGAGGGCAACAAGAATGGACAGAAAGAGATGGGTTAAGAGTCTAGCTCAGGAACCTAGAAAAAAGGCCAAAGTGACCTGAACAAAGGGGATGGAGAAAAGTATATTTAAGAGCTTGAAGAAGTAGAATGCCAGGATCTGAGAACCAATTAGACATTAGTAAAGGAAAGAGTATTAACAGAAACACTTAGGTACTAACTATAGCAGCTAATACTGCTTATAGTGTGTCAGAGCTGGGCTAGATGCTTCACATGCATCATTTAATTTAGCCACTATCACAACCCTACAAAATAGGTATTGTTATCTGCATTGTTAAATGAGAGAACAGAAAGCATGAAGAGATTAATTATCAAGGTGACCTAGCTAGAAAGTAGCAGAGTCAGAATTCAACCTGTCTGCCTATCCCAGAGCCTGGGTTCAAACTACTTGTTCATGAATGAATAGTAAGGCCGTTCCTTGAGATGAAAACACAAGGAAGAAACTGGTTTGGAGAGGAAAATGAAGAGATCGATTATGAACATGCTGAGTGTGTGATGCCTGTGGAATATCCAAAAAGGGGTGTTTGGTAAACAAGTGAACACCCGGGTGTGGAGCATCAATTGCAAGTCCAGCCCAGGACATCATTTAAGGGACATTAGGAAGAAGAGAAGCAGCAGCAGCTGGAGAGGCAGGAAATGGGAAAGAAATCAGAACTGAATGGCTTTCAGACAATGAAATGATGTTTAATTTCACTCACACAAAAAGACATGCAAATTAAACCATATTTCACTACCAACTTTCAAAGTTTGATAGCACGTTCTGAGAAACAGGCACTCACTCTCATACACTGCTGGTAGGACTGTAAATATGTACAATTTCAATGGTGGACTATTTAGCAACAGCTCACAAAATTACAACTTGAACCCAGCTACTTCATTTGTAATAATTCACCCTACACATGACAATAATAACAGCTAACCCTTGAGGGGATTAATATGGGCCAGGCACTGTTCTCTAAGTGTTTTGTGTCCATTAACTCATTTAATCACTATGAACTCCCCTTTTACAGATGAAGAAACTTAGGGACAGAGTGATTAAGTAACTTGCCCAGGGTCACACAGCTAAAAAGCAGCACAGCCAGGAATTGAATCCTACATGTGCAAAATGAATGACCTTTAAGATTATTCATTGCCACCTTATGCCTAACCTTGCTGAGCTTCAGCTAAATGCTCAGAAAGTGCTAATGACATGAGGTAGGGATAGGGAGCAGGTTCACATAGTCAAACCAGAAAGCAAAGCCAAGTCATTGGAGATAAAATGGAAAGTCTGTTGCACTGCCTTGAGTTCCACAATAAAAACTGACAATTTGATATACTGAATGACATAAGGCTCTGAGCTAGAGAGAGCCTGGCAGCTCCAAGATATGCAGACCGTGGCCCTGGAGACCCTTTGCCATGTCTCACCAAATATTGATGCATCTCTTCCACACTTGCTCCCGATGATGGATGAAAGCAGTTCTTGTGCCATGGTCCAGCCTCCCAGGGGTTTTCAGGGGATCTTTAGTCAGATTTAGGACAGGAAGATTGATCCACTATAGCCCAGAAGTGAGACGTGTGACAGTTGAGTCAGTCTCT